AACTTATTTATCAAGAACATACATTTTTTTAGATTAAAAAATTAATAATATAATTGAAAAAATGCAGGATAATATAATTGTCATATATGCCACGATTTTTTTTGCAATGATATTCATTTTAATTCCTCACGAGAATACAATTTAACAAAATGTATTTTTTGCGTTCAAAATTTTAAAAATTGAAAATACACTTTTAATGCAAAACTACATTAAAAATATATTACAGTTTTGCATTAGAAATATACTAACATGTATGTTTTTTGCATAAATATTCTATCAACATGCAATTTTTTCAACAAAAACTTTAACAATAAAAATTAAAAATATGGTTTAATACCTCATGATAATCAAAACCTGGTCACTATTTTCATATTTTTTTGGAAAATCACGATTGTTTTAAAAAAATCGATCATGTACTAAAAAAAAAAACAAAAAAAAAAATTTACTTCACAGAGCCATATAAGATCAATCATTCTAACTAAAACATGCATTAAAAACAAATTAAAAAAAATACAGTTTTACATTAAAATTTTAATAACATGCATTTTTTTGCATAAATAACTATCAACATACAATTTTTTCAACAAAAACTTTAACAATAAAAATTAAAAATATGGTTTAATACCTCATGATAATCAAAACCTGGTCACGATTTTCACATCTTTTAGGAAAATCATCAGTTTTCAAAAAATTCGATTATGGATAAAAATAAAAATAATAATAAAAAAAGTACAGCAAACTCAAACAATAAAAATTAAAACTATGGTTTAATACCGCATGATAATCAAAACCTTGTCACGATTTTCACATCTTTTCGAAAAATCATCATTTTTCAAAAAGTTCGATCATGGATAAAAAAAAAAAAGTACAAAAAATTTTCAAAAAATTTGATCATGGATTACAAAAAAAAAGGCAATCATGGATTACAAAAAAAAATATCAAATTTTCAAAAAAATTCGATCATGGATTACAAAAAATTCGATTATGGATTACAAAAAATTCGATCATGGATTACAAAAAATTCGATCATGGATTACAAATAATTCGATCATGGATTACAAAAAAGAAAAAAATTCAAAAAATTTGATCATGGATTACAAAAACAAAAACAAAAAAATTCGATCATGGATTACAAAAAGAAAAAAAAAAAAAAAAATTACGATCATGAATTAAAAAAAAAAAAAAAATTACGATTATGGATTATGAAAAATTTGATCATGGATTAAAAAAAAAAATCGATCATGGATTACAAAAAACATTCGATCATGGATTACAAAAAAAAAAAATTCAATCATGGATTACAAAAAATCAAAAAAAAAAAAATTTCTGTTCTCCGCAGAGTCACCTTACATCAGCCATTTTAACTAAAAAATCCACCTCCAAACAAATAAATTACATCCAATTGAGTACATTTTTTGATAAACAACAATATAAGGAATCAAAACCCTAAATTATGATCACATTATCATTAATAAATCAAATCAAATTGATTAAATTAAGAAAAAAAAAAAACACAGTTCTTCACAAACAACAGTCATTGAATCTAAAAAATGAAGCTCAAATTGAATAAATCAGATCAAATTGAATACATCTGATTATAAACAAGACTATAAAGATTAAAAACCCTAGAAATCTAACACATTATTTGTAATATATCGTGAACAAAAAATCGAAAGGTGGAAAAAAAAAAAAATAGCAGAAATTTTTTTTCACAGGCATCACCGTGTTCATCTAAAAACTCAGGCTGTAATTGAGTAAATTAAATAAAGTTGAATATGGTAAATGATAAAACACACAATAAAGATTTAAAACCCCACAAATGTAACTTATTGTTTTCAAAATATGGGTTGAAATTGATCAAATGGCGGGAAAAAAAAAAAACCCAGAGTTCTTACCTGGTTTCGTGAACCCGTGGCTTCAATCTCCAAATTACTCTGTTTTTCTCAAGGATTATCACAAATTCGTAACAGAATTTTTTGATGAACACATTTGCGATCAAAATGCATAAAAAGTTTCACAAATTCATGCCCTATTTGGCATGAAACAAAATGAAAGGCGGAAACCCTAAAACCGCAACTTTCATGATCCAAAAACACGAAATTTCTCCACCATTTAATCCATGAAAAGATTGAAAAAAACTGCATAAAGCCTGAATATTCGATCACATGGCAAAAAACCAAGAAAAATGATAAAAAATGACAAATTTTGAAGAATCACGTGAAGAACACTGTGCAGCGAGTGTTCTTCACGGGACTCGCCGATTCTGTACAGTGAATCGGCGAGTCACTATACAGAATCGCCCGGTTCTCTCTCGAACCGGGCGATTCCGTGTAATTTGTCGGAATCGGCACGTCCAGTGCCGATTCTCGAGTCGAATCGAGCGAATCCGGTTCGACTCGGCGTTTTTTAAACACTGCAGCCAACAATAACATTAGCCACAATGAGAGCCAAAAATGAAGGACGATTTTATCTTTTTTACTTTTAGAGCATGTCATGACTCAAAAGAACAAGAAAAATTTATCAAAATATAACTTACCTTTTAGCTATTTAATGTTTTGCTATTTTTCTATTATTCACATATGTATTTTGATGGGTACTGTGATATTAAGTCAGAACATATAGGTAAAATATTGAAGAATAAGAAAAGTTTATCAAAATATAACTCACTTTTTAGCTATTTAATGTTTTGCTGTTTTTCTATTATTCACATATGTATTTTGATGGGTACTGTGATATTAAGTCAGAATACACTAGTGTATCCTGTCAAAATTCCCAATGTTAAGCACGAGGGGAAAAGTTTATATAAGGTTGTTACCTTAAATTGTAGAATTAAGGTGCACTTCAAAATTCTATTGGAAAAGATTATTTTGACACTAAAAAACTATTAAATTGATCGCCTTGACAACGAGACATATGGATGTGGAAAAAAATGACATTAAGTCTAAAAATAGTACTGCAACATATTAACTGGCCGCCCAATTTAAGATTTTCATGCATTTATAGATCTATTTGATTTGAATTATTTTAAAATTTTAAAAGTTTTATAATTAGAAATAAAAATAATATTTTAAGCCATCATAAAAATTTCCAGACACTCAAATTGCATCTTGTAGGAAGTTTAAAGGTACACATTATTTTGATTGTTTAAGGGTGAGACCTTGTACAAACCTCACCTTTTATAGAAAGGAATACATGAAAGGACAGTTTGTAGAAATGAATCCCCTTTTAAAAATTTATTTTTGAGATGGAACTCTGGACCCAATTTTTAAGGACATATAATCTTTAACATAAAGATAATGAATAAGGAAAAAAGATCTCAAAATTAAAAATAATAGTTTTTATAAAACACATTTAGACTACTAATTTTAATTATATATATATTTTTAAAGTTTATATAAATGTAAGGCTCTAAACAATAAAATTAAGGTGCACCTCAAAATTTCATCAGAAGTCATTTTGATTTTCAAACTTCCTCAAAATTAATCATCTAAACCTCAAGTTGTACAGACATGATAAAAAAATTGGATTTAAGTCTTGGAAATAGTGAACCATGTAATGTATTTTTGGACCATTAGTTTTCTAAATTTTCAAGTGTTCGTAGATCCATATTAATTTTTCAACTTTTAAATTTTGGAAAAAGTTTATACAAGGTTGCAACCTTGAAGTGTAGAATTACATATGCACTTCAAAAATCCATCGGAAAAGGCTCTTTCAATGTTGAAAAAACCTCTAATTGATCATCTCAACATCAAGATGTATGAATATGAAAAAAAAAAATTGTCCCAATAATAATACATATTACAATACATTATCTAGACTATCCATTTTCAAGTTTTTTATATATTTATAGATCTACTTGATTTTAACAATTTTTTGAGTTTAAAATTTTATAATTAGATATGAAAACAGATTTTGAGATAATCTTAATAATTTTTTTCACCAAAATCATGATACAATTTGGAGGTGCGCGTTAATTGGATTATTTAAAGCTGCAACTTTATATAAACTACACCCTCAAATTTTATATTTAGATATGAAAATAAATTTTCACTAAAGTAACGACATCTCCCGAAACTATTTGAAGGCGCGCCGTATTTCGATGTTATGAGCCTCCTCATTATTGAAGGCACACCCGTTTTTCTTGCCCGGTGGGTTTCAACTTTCGAAGGATAAGAGACATTTAAAACCACTTGCCCAAAAATTTTTAGAAAGAGACATTTAAAACCACAGCAGAAGAGAAAACCCGTGAAACCTGTGAAAACCCTAACCTTAGGTTGAAGAAGAGAAAGACGCCCACATCCGCACTTCCTCCATCGCCATTATCACAGAGCTTAAAGGGATTGAAGCCACGAATCAGTGAGTTGTTTTTTTTTACGACTTCCATGTGCCCAAGAAAGAAATAGATGCATGTATGAGAGAGTTGTCTTAGAGAGACGGGGAGAAAGAGATGTATGAGAGAGAGAAAGAGAGAGGTGGCTTTCACATTAAAATATTGAAGAGTAACTATGGTGGGCAGTAAGAGAGAAATGTCTCTGAAACCCATTTCTCTACTCACAATCTATGTGTTCACAATATATTTTCTCTGGTTGCTGCTTATTCAATGATTCATACTTAGAATGGTTTGTATGTTCTCAAAAAGTTGCTAAAATTTGATCTCAGACTTATCGGAGTACCCCGCAATGGCTCCCTTGCTCTTCTGGATATTTTACCAGATGGGATTCTTTCGCTGTCTCACCATACAAAACCCATATTTCTACTTATTTTTGAAACTGTGGGTTTCTTTTTCAGTATATTCTATATCTCATGGTCTCACGAGAAAAACCCATGTTTTTGTTTGATGTTGGGAGCTTTGAATTTCTTTTGAGTCATTGAATAGATGATAATTACTGGGTTGTTATTAAATTGAGCCGAAAATTCAGGAAATAATTATTATTTAGATTGTTTTTTTTTTTTTCTTATTTTATATTGTTTTATCTGGTGTCCATTCCAGCTTTTTGTGTTTGGTTTCTAATTCAATTTTGTTGAAACTTATTGAACAGAATGAGAATGAAACCTAATTACAGTTATTTCGAGTTCATAAATTAGACACTCTATTCAATCAATAAAACTTCAATCATCACAGAAATGAGTTTAAATTTCTTTGATAGCTTCATCGAGCTATATCCTATTCGTAACAGTGAAAATTTCAGTGGTTCTGTAATGAAAATTTGGCCATTATCGAAAAGAAAATTGTGCATGAGATTTGGAAGGTATAATTGAGACCTATCCAATGTTTATCTTTGACATTGTTTTCTTTAAAAATAAAATTAGGTTTGTTGTTATAAATAGATGGTTTAGTTATTGTATGCTCTACTTTCCTTCTATCATTACTTGTGTCATCTCATTATGCTCTCTTCGAAATTTTTTGTTTAGTGTTGATAGTACCTTTTATTTGTGCTTTTCTTTGGGTTAGCTGAGTTACTTGAGATATTTGATCTCGAAAACTTGTCTGGGAATTTATTAGAGGGATTAAAAGAAATTCAAAATTTTTGGCGTGATTGCAATTTCAATTGTTGTTGGGTGTCATCCACTCATAAGTTACATAGATAGAAGAACAAATTTCTTCAATGTTGACCTACATATTATAAGAAATGCATTAGATGGGTTGTTGCAAGAAAAATTCATTCAAGATATGGATTTTGCACATCAAATCAATTAATTACAGAATGGATGGTTAAGAGAGGTTGTTTCCAGCTTTTCCATTGCCAAACAGGTGAAATTACCAGCACCACAATTTATCAGACCAGGCTTCGAGAGAGAGAGGGGAGAGGGGTTGCAGAAATGGAGAAGTACTTTGGAAACGCATACAGGGGTGACCCAGGAGTACCCCACTCTGGTGAAGAGCGCTTTGAGAACATTTGGATTGGTTCCGCTGTCTTCTCTGCCCTCACATGGTTCGACCCTTATATGTGGCAACTCTCCAATCAACACAAGTAAGTTATTCTTTTTACTTCGCCCCATTTCTTGTTTCTTTCTCCCTATCTAAATCTGTCTATCTACCCATCCATCTATCTATCTATGTATTGGATGAATATGAATTGTTCAATTACTTGGGTGGGTAGGATACTGTAAAGGATGTTGCATTTCTCGTTTTTTTAGCAAATTTGCTAGAGAAATGAAGTGATGACTCACTGCAAGAAATGTTGGGGTCCTTTTTTTTGAAACCTAGTGTTTCTGTGCTATGAATACTACTGCAAATGTTTGGGATTTCTAGGCTTTTAGAAAAATTGGTAGAAAATTAATTGCTGTGATTTGCTTTCTTTGAAGATATTTGGTGATTACCCATGTTATTTTGTGACAGTGAATTTCTAGATAGCTGTATGTAACAGAGTTTTAAAGCAGCATGTGTTTGTCTTTCTCCATCCCAATATTTCTCTCATATTTTGTGGAATTAAATATGTAATAATTCATTGTAATTTTTTTTCATCTAGTGTTTAAAGTCTATCTCAGTATCTAGATATTATGTCTCTCATGCTTTGTTTGATTAATTCATTGCATATCATTATAAGCACAAAGAGTGATTTCATATTACCATGTCGTTGTAATATAATGAGACCACACTTCTAGAAAACCATGTTTGTGGCATTTGTAAGACCCCAAAAATTGCACACACCCTCTCTTCATCCCAATAATGAAACCCCGGAAATATTAAAGTTCAATTTGTACCCTTTATATGGTCAAAATGAGTCTCCCTCTAACAATGAATCTAGACCATTTATTTACTGAATTTCAAGTACTAGCCTTTTACGAACCCAAAATCATTATTTTTTCTTTTAACATAGTTAATCTAATCATAATAAAGCCATCAAAAAAATTGAAAATGGAAAAAAGTCCTTCTAACGCCTAGATCTAAGCATTTTATCAAAATGGGCGGCTTATGTTAATTGGGCTAAAAACCACTTTCTAGAGTGAATTTTCACATTTTGCCTTTTGTGATTGTGCATTGAAATGAAAAAAGTATATATTTAAAAATTGGGGTCAAACAAATAATCTTAACGCTTTCATCATATTACTATACAACTGTTGCGTGAAATCAATAT